CCTTATGTTGAGGTGCAATCCATACTTAAGACTGTAGTCTTTGATCTTCATCAGTAAGTGTTTCAAGTCATCTTCACTTTCAGCAAGCAAGGTTGTGTTTTCTGCATATTGCAGGTTGTTAATGAGTGTTCCTCTAATCTTGATGCTGTGTTCTTCTTCATATAGCCCAGCTTCTCAGACTATTTCCTCAGCATACACATTGAATAAGTATGGTGAAAGGATACAACCTTAACGCACATACTTCCTAATTTTAAACCATGCAATATCTGCCTTGTTCTGTTCAAATGGCAGCCTCTTGGTCTATGTACAGGTTCCCCATGAGAGCGGTTAAGTGTTCTGGAATTCCAATTCCTTGTAGTATTTTCCATGATTTGTTACGATCTACATAGTCGAATGCCTTTGCATAGTCAATAAAACACAAGTAGACATCTTTCTGGCATTCTTTGCTTTCAGCAAAGATCCATCTGATATTAGTAATGATATCCCTTATTTCATGTTCCCTTCTGAATTCAGCATGAATTTTTGAAAATTCCCTGTCAATATACTGCTGTAACTGTTTTTGAATTATCTTCAAGATTTTACTTGGGTGTGATATTAATGATGTTGTTCAATAATTTCCACATTTTGTCAGATCACCTTTCTTTGGGATGGGCACAAATATCCAGTCTCTTCCAGTTAGTTGACCAGGTAGCTGTCTTCCAGATTTCTTGATATAAACAAGTAAGCACCTCCAGTGCTACATCTATTTGTTGAAACATCTCAGTGGATATTCTGTCAGTTCCTAGAGCCATGTTTTTCACCAATTCCTTCAGTGCAACCTCAACTTCTTCCTTCAGTACCATTGGTTCTTGATCATGTGCTATGTCCTGAAATAGTTGAACATTGACCAATTGTATAAAATACCGTATATTTATTTGTCTTTATCATTATCTCTCCCTGATAGAACATACATTCCATGAAGACAGGGAATTTTGTCCATTTTCTAGCACTATAGCAGTGGTAATATAGAGTAGTAACACAAATAATTGTTGAATGCATGATTGAATATGAACCTCATTTGCAAATAGTCTTTTAAATGCTAGAAATGTCCTATAACAGGAATTGAAAAAAACTCAAACATATTTGCATAGTAGTTTGCTAATGATGATAGCCAATATGTTTTGAGCATTTACTATATGCTAGCTACTGCTAAGCACCTAGCATGGAATTTCACATTTTATTCCTATAACAGTTTCTCTATCCTTTTCTTTTAACCTGTTGTGTCTTTGTACTTAACATGTGTTTATTACAGGCAGCATAGAGTTGGGTTTTGCTTTCTTTTTACCCAATCTAACAAGCTCTATCTTTTCATTTGAGTGTTTATACACACTTGGTGTCATTAATATGGTTACAATTAAATCTGTCATTTTTGCTCTTTTTGTTTTCTATTTGTCCCATCTGTTCTTTGTTCCTTTTTCTTTTGTTTTGATTTTTGTATTCTTTTAGATAAATGGTGTGCATTTTATGATTCAGTTTAATCTTCATTGTTTCCTTATTGGCTATAGCTCTTTATTTTTGCAGTGATTGTTTCAGACTTTATATTTTTAACTTACCAGAATTTACTTTCAGATGAAATCACAGCACTTTATTTAATTATTCAGTTAGCAATTATTTTATTATCCAACATTTCACATTTACAACAGTAGTGAAAAGTCTGTTAGCCAACTATTTTGTGCATTAGCGACATACATCTTAATGAATACTGAGGTCCCTAACCCCATGTGCACCTAGAAAGGAAACTTACTGCCCACAATGGCAGGGGGGCACAGTCTCCCTAAGCCACCAGGGTACCAGGTGGAGCAGAAGGGGTGGTGGAATGGGACCGGCAGGGATGAGATGCTGCCCAGCAGGTCCTAGATGCCCATACGGGGCTGAGATCAGGGCAGCAGCAGCAGTGTCCTGAACGTGGGCCACCCTCAGGGCCAGGGAGGAAGCAGGACCCCATTGTCTGACCTTAGTTCCCAGCCCTGAAGGGCTGCGGGACAGCCTGGGCCATGGTCAGAAGAAGCTCTGACACAGGGTACTCAGGTACTCTTTACTCCTTTTTGTAAATTCATATTACCATCTCATGATCATGTTTTTCTGCCTGAAGGACATCCTTTAATATTTCTTATAGTGTGTGTCTGCTAATAATAAATTATTTCAGCCTTTGTATTTCTGAAAATGTCCGTATTTTGCTTACATTTTTGAAAACTAATATTCACTGGGTATAGAATCTAGTTTGACAGGTTTTTGTTTTTCCTTCTGGGATTTTGGTCTTTTTTTTTATTTGTAGAAACACTTCATATATTAAACATACCTGTTCTTTGTCATAGGTTGCCACACTTTTTCCTGTTTTTTTTAGTTGTGTTTTGACTTGGTTTAAGAGCTTTTTACCTTGAAAAATCTTTTCATTTTTATTTAATCAAATCTTATGAGTTTTATTTTATGTTTTCTGAGTTATGAGTGATATTCTGAGAAGCCCTACTTCATGATTAAAATTTTCTTCCAGTGTTTTTATGGGTGTCATTTATTGTTTACATTTTTTAAAACTCTGAAATTCATCTTGGAAGAATGTGTAAACAGTCCCTTCCTTTCTTCCTTTCCTTGTTTCTTTAGGCTCTTGTACACTTACTAATCTCTGAGCATATGAAAATCTTCAAAATTTGTGTAGTTAAACTTGTTATCCTACTTCATGGTTTGTACCTTGGTGTCATGCTTGGACTTTCCCCACCCTCCACGTGATGCAAATAACTGCCTTTCTTTTCTTTTGGTACTTTCAGGATTCCCTGTTTTATATTTAAATCTTTAATGAACCTAAAATATACATTAGCATACAATGAGTTGAGACCAAGATCATTTTCTATCCAATTGACTAGTCAGTTTTTCCACTACCATTTATTAAATCATTTTCTCACAAATTTTAAATGCCGTCTGCCTTAATCAGGGTTCTCTAGAAAGACAAAACCAGTAAGGAGAGAGAGAGAGAGAAAGAAAAGCATGTGTGTGCGTTATATTAAGGAATTGGCTCATGCAGTTGGGGGGGGCCTGACACATCCAAAATCTATAGGTCAGACAGCAGGCTAGAGATTTTGTCAATCTTATGTCCCAAAATCAGGAGAGTGGGGAATTCTGAAAAGATATTTGTAGTGTAGAGACAGGATAAAACCAAACCAAACCCACTGCCGTGGAGTCGGATCCGACTCATAGAGACTCCTTCCTGGGTTTCCAAGGCAGTATCATTACGGATGTAGATTGCCCAACCTTCCTTCCGAGGAGTGGCTGGTGGGTTTGAACCACCAGCCTTCTGGTTAGCAGGTTAGTAATCACATGCCTTAGGCACTACGCCACCAGAGCTCCCAGAGAATAGTCCCTAGGAAAATTCCCTTTTTGCTCTTAAGGCCTTCAGCTGACTGGATGAGGTCCATTCAAATTATGTTGGCCAATCTGCTTTACCTAAAATCAACTGATTTAATCACATGTAACTGCTTCATAACAGATCTAGACTAGTGTTTGACCTAACAGCTGGGCACCATAGCCTAGCCAAGTTGACACAGAAAAGTAACCATCACACTATCTTTGATAAATTCAAAATTTTTATATATGGAACTGTTCTTTTACTTCTTTTTTGTTTTGTTTATTGTTTAATTCCTGCTCTAATACCATTCTGTTAATTAACTGAAAAATAAAAAATAGGAAGGAACGCTTGCTTTAAAAGATACTAAGGTGTATTATAAATCTAAACTATTCTTGGTTTTTCTCCCCATGTATCCATCTAAGAATGCTTTAACCTCACATTTTAAAGTAGTCGTATTAATTGAGAGGGAATTTAACATCTTTATCTTTAAATAGGCTCATCTAAGAACATGGTATGTCTTTCCATATGCTAATGTTTTATGTTTTTCAGTTGATTCTTATAGTTTTCCTCCTGAGTTCTAATAGTACATACAGTAAGGTGCCAGTATTGTAAAATATGATAGTGTGTTTTAAAAAAGACTAGAGAGATATAAACTGAGATATCAAGGTGGCTATCTATGACAACTGCAGTGAGGAGCAATGCAGAGGTTTATTTTCTTGGTGCCTGTTTTTTCAAAAGTTTAGCATATGAGTTTATATAACTTTTTTATAATTAGAAAACCGCAGTTCCGAAAACACTCGTTGTAAAATACTTTTAAATATACCCACTGCTGTCGAGTTGATTCTGACTCATAGTGACCCCATTGGGTTTCCAAGGCTGTAGATCTTTACAGAAGGATATTACCTCATCTTCCTTCTGCAGAGTAGCTGGTAGGTTTTGAACCAAAGACCTTCTGGTTACCATCCAAATGTCTTACCCACTACGCCACTAGAGTTCCTTTTAAGTATACCAAAAACCAAACCCATTCCCATCGAGTTGATTCTGACTCACAGTGAACCCTCATTGGGTTTCTGAGGCTCTAAATCTTTATGAAAGTAGATCACCTCTTCTTCCTTCTGCAGAGCAGTTGGTGGCTTTGACCCACTGACCTTCTGGTTAGAATCCAAATGCCTTACCCACTATACCACCAGAGCTCCTTACTTTTAAGTATAGTAATGTTAAAAATGCATTTAAATGTTTCTAATGAAAAATAAATTTCATTTCTGTTCATATATACTACCTAAAAGTAAAAATCACTAAAAGCTTTTTTTTCCTGAATAAAAAGAAATACAACAGCTCTACTTATCAACATTAATTTGAAATGATGGCTTGTATAATTAAAGGTAATATCAAAAGCTGGAATAATGAATTTGTTTATATTAATTTTACTTCTAAGCAGCAATGGAAATTTTTAAGGTCAATATGCAGTATTTTAAATAATATGGAGTAGAATTGTTTTCAGGGTTGGCCATAAACTAATTATTTAATTGACATCTAATACATACTAAAGTCCAGTAAGCCATATAACTTAATATAGAATACAGAGATATTTACTTGTACTTACTTAACCATAATCTCTTCACAGTATGGGTTTCTAGGCAAGATGGCTGTTAAAGAAGAAAAAGAAAATATTTATGAAGTCTGCAAAAGGTTTGTTAATATTTCTAATTATATAACTTTAAAATAGTCACTTATCTAATTTGTGTCTTTGAATGTATATATGCTTGTGTTACTATGCCATTATGCCGTACATGGGTATGATTTAATTACTGTGTCACATGTACCCAGATAAATGAGTATTTTAAGTACTTTAATATAAATTTGATGTTTAAAACTGTCACTAAGTTTTCTGAGCTGTTAAAATACTTTTTGAGGGAGGAGTAAGAACTAGTGAGAAAATAAAATAAAAATGCGTAATGCATATGTGACTTTTATGAAGGTGTTACTTTTGTTAGCTGCCATTGAGTAGGCCCTGGATGACAGAATGAAATGCTGCCTGGTCCTGAGGAATCCCCATGACTGGACCAGACTGGTGTATGATCCATATTGTTTTCACTGGTTGATTTTTGGAAGCAGATGGCCAGTCCTTTCTTCTTAGTCCATCTTAGTCTGAGTTTAAGATTGGCCAAAATCAGATGAACGTTGCCACTTGCATGTAACTTACACAAATTCAGTGATTCATTCTGAAAATTGTAGTATATTCACTAGAAAATACAAAAATATCAAATTAGAGTTGGAAGACACCTTGGAGATCATCTGATTCACTTCTTGCCTTCCCATTTTGCTGGTGAGGCAAGCCCAGGTCAAGTGAATATGTTCAGATCACTTTATATCAAGGCAGTTGTTTATAAAGTAGGGTCCCTGGAGCAACAGGATGACCTAGGAAATTGTGAGAAATGTAAATTATTGGGCCCCACCCCACACGTACTGAACCAGAAACTCTTAAGTATGGGACCAGTTAATCTGTGTCTCCTAATGTATGTTCAAGTGTGAGAACCACTATATTAAGAAGGAAAAGGCTAGGCATTAAATTGGCACAGGAGCCCCAGTGTGAGTCATGACTACTTGGAGATCTGGAAGAAAAATGGAAAGTAATGAGGTTAATTACTTTTTTCTTTTGAAAGAATTTAGCTTACAAACTAAAATAGTATCATTGCAAAGTCCACAGAAATTTATCATCAGTTTTACTCTACCATAGTGACCAGCACTAGGACAGTAGGCAAGTATCACTGTATCACCCCTGGGCTTTAATCATCTAATCAAAAGTGAAAGAATTGTACTAGATAATCTCTTCCATCTATAAAACTCTAACTTTTAAGTTTTTACTGTGATTTAAATGAAAGTTTATAGAGCACATTAGTTTTCCGTTCAACTGTTCATGCTTATTTTCTTTTGTGACACTGAATGAAGTCCCCCAATGTAACAGCACTCTTCCCACTTCCTCCTTGAGGTTGCATCTGTCCTTCTTCCCTGTCCATTCCTGCCTTCTGACCTTTATCCATGTGCAGATGCTGCCTTTTTGATTTCATATGGTTGATTGTTCTAAGGAGTACACACCTCCCTGGTGTTATTGTTCACCCCATAGGTCTGTCTGTGTTTGGCTGAAAGTTGAATCGCAGGAGTGAGTTCATTTCCAAGTTTGACAGATTACTAAGGGACAAAGTCTCAGGGGTTCCACCACTCTCTATTAGACCCATAAACCTGTTTATTATTATTATTTTGATTTTTGTTCTACCTTTTGGTCCCATTTTGTCCAGGACCTTTTATTGTGATTCCTTTCAGAGTGGTTGGCAGTGGTATCCAGGCACCATTTACTTATGATCTCAGGCTTGTGGAGGTTGAGGTTCCTGTGGTCCACTCGTCCCTTGGACTAATTGTTTCTGTATGTCTTTGATTTTCTTCCCTCTTCTTTGCTCTGGATGAGGAGAAAACAATAGTGACACCTTAGATGGCTGCTTTTAAACTTTTGAGGCCCCAGTTACTACTCAACAAAGTAGGATGTAGAACATTGTTTCTGTGGACCATGTTGTGCCATTTGAGCTTGATGTTCCCCACAACTAAGGTCCTGAGCCCCCCAGGCCCAGTGACTCATTCCCTTAAGGTGCTTGGTTATGGCTAAGAAGTTTTCATAACTTTGCCCCATTTGCTCTACTATATACATGGATATTTTTATAGTATATACAAATATGTATGAAGAAATATCATCTGTCAGACCTCTACATGGTTGTGGGTATAGTCCTGTTCACTTGCCCATACCTGATCATCTCCCTACATATCCACTCATATATTAATGTATGTTATTACTGATAATGTAGGATTGTGTATGTAAATAGTACTTACGTTTGTTGTCTGTAACTCTTGTGCACTTCTCCTTCTCTTCCTTTTCCTTAGTGATATTGTGCTGGTCACCCCTTTTTGTAGATTGTCTTCCCCTTCATCCAAATTAACATGTGTCTCTTAACTAGTTAGTGGTTTTCCCTCTCCTCCTATCCCATCTGCAGTAACCATCAAAGAAGGTTTCTTTGCATGTTGTTCTGGTTACCTAGTGCTGCTCTGACAAGAAATATACCACAAATGGGATGGCCTTAACAAACAGGAGTTTATTCTTACAATTTGGAGGCTTTAAGTCCAAGTTGAAAGTGCCAGGCTCTAAGGGCTGGGTGAAAGCCCTTCAACCTAGGGGTCCAGCTCTGCCTCCTGCTCCTGGCCCACTGGAGCTAGAGGTGTTTCTTCACTCAGACAGCTGCTGGCTGCTACTTGAAAAGCCCCAAGGTTGACAAGTAAAAAGGCACAGTCCCGATGTTACCAAACCACACGTCAAACCATTAACTTAAGTCCATTTTAAGTCCCAAAGTTGGCAGAGCATGGCAGGCTGCTGAGCAACGACACGGCTACATGCAGGGTCCAAGCATGCCATAGCCTAGAGACCATCCTCAGGGCTTCTCATTATACACAGAAAGCAGACCACATCCCAAAGGCAGCTACTCAGCTGCTTGTGGTGGATCCCACCATGCAGTTGATTGCCAGTCTCATCATGGGGAATAACTACCACCAGCTATCCAGCCACTCAGCCAGGCCCAGCCAAGTTGACACACAAACATAACCACCACAATTCCACCCTTGTCAACTTGGCATCTGTACCGATCTCCTCCACTAGGTGGCTCCAGTTCCCTAGTTCCTTTAAGTGGAGACCTTACCCCTTCGCCTGATGAAATATAACAATCACAGTCCTCGTTTCTGCAACCGATCACTTGGTCATAGCTGATATTCAGAACTGCCTTCTTCCACCCATTCTGTATTTCCCTTGCTCTCAGCAAGCACCTCAGCTGGTAGTGGTAGATTCCACCATGGAGTTGATTGCCAGTCTCATCATGGGGAAAAACTACCACCAGCTGCCCAGCCACTCAACCAGGCCCAGCCAAGTTGACACACAAACATAACCACCACACATGTGTAAACTTTTTCTTGACTTTTTATAATTGTGGACTCACATAATATTTGTCCTTTTGTAATTGACTTCTTTCATTAAGCATAATGTCCTCCAGGTTCATCCATGTTATAAGGTGTTTTGTGGATTCTTCCTTGGTCTTTAATGTTACATAGTATTCCATTGTGTGTGTCTACAATTGTTTATCTATTCATGTGTTTGTGGGCACTTAGGTTGTTTCTATCTCTTTGCTTATTCAGAATAGTGCTGCAGTGAACATGAGTGTGCATATATCTGTTTCCTGGCTCTCATTTCTTTAGGATTGGTGGGTCAAATGGTATATTTCTATTTAAAACTCCATACTTCATTCATTTTTTTTTTTTTTTCCAAATTGTGATTTGGGTGAAACTTTACAGAGCAAATTGGTTTTCCATTCAACAATTCATACACATTTTGTTTTGTGACATTCATTGCAATCCCCACAATGTAACAGCACTCTTCCTACTTCCTCTCTGTGTTTACCATTTCCTTTCATCCTTCTTTCCTATCCCTTCCAGCTTTCTTAGCTTTATCCTTGAAGAAATGCTGCCCTTTTGATCTTGTCTGCTTGGTTGTTCTAGGAGTATGTACCTCCCTAGTGTTACTGTTCACCTTACAGGCTTTGGCATAGTGCCTAAGGCATTTGACTGCTAACCAGAAGACTGGTGGTTCAAACCCACCAGCCACTCCTTGGGACGAAGATTGGCAATCTACTTCTGTAGTGATACCATCTTGGAAAGCCAAGGAGGGGTTGCTGTGAGTCAGATCTGACTCAACAGCAGTGAATTTGGTTTTGGGTTTGGTATTATTTGTCTTAATGTTAAGCCACAGGAGTGAGTTCAGTTCCAGGCCTGAAGGGTATCTTTGGGCCATAGTGCCAAGGGACCAGTCTCTTAGACCAATAAGCCTGGTCTTTTTAATGATTTTGAGTTTTTTTCTGCATTTTTCTCTCACTCTATCCAGGACCTCCTATCGTGATCCCTTTCAGAGCAATCAGAAGTGATAGCTGGGTACCATCTAGTTCTTCTGATCTCAGGGTCATTGAGACTAGGGTTCACATGGTCCCTTAGTCCTTTGTTTCCTTGCATCTTTTATTTTCTTAACTCTTCTTTGCTGTGGTTGGAGAGTGACCAGTAGTTGCACATTATATGGCCACTTATAGACTTTTAAGACCCATGTCACTGCTCACCAAAGTAGGATGTACAACACTGTCTTTATGGACTATGTTATGCCAGTTGACCTTAGTGTCCCTGAGGCTATGGTCCCAAACCTCCAGGCCCAGCAGGTCATTCCCTCAAGGTGTTTGGTTGCGACTAAGAAGTTTTCATAACTTTCATAACTTTGCTCTACTACATTCATGGGTATGTTTGCATCACATCTGGTGGCATGGTACCTAAGGCATTTGACTGCTAACCAGAAGGCTGGCAGTTCAAACCCACTAGCTGCTCCTCAGAAGGAAGATGGGCGATCTACTTCCATAGAGATAATGCCTCGGAAACCCAAGGAGTTGCTATAAGTCGAATTGACTCGACGGCGGCAGTGAGTTTGATAAATACATAGGTAGAGATATCCTCTGTCAAACTTATATATATTCATGAGTGAAACTCCATAATTCTTATTTCTTTGTTTCATGTTACTCTTTTTTGTTTTGTTTGGGAGGTAGGTATGTTGATTACACATATCCATTGATATCCTAAGTTAGGTAGAAAGGTGACTGTCTCTGTTTTGTGTGAATAGTTCTTAACTCCATTGTTGCTACTAAATTTCAGCTGTTATATAAGTGTGGCTTCCTTCTTTCTACTATTTTTCAGATTTTTGCCTGATTTGTGCAGTTCACCAACCCACCTGTTGAGAATTTACATTTCGACCCCTTATATACTGAATCTGGTAGGGTAGTGCCTAAGGCACTTGACTGCTAACCAGAAGGCTGGCAGTTCAAACCCACCAGCCACTCCTCGGAAGGAAGGTTGGGCAATCTACTTCTGTAG